ACACGAAAATCATGATTTGGGCGATTTTCAAAAGTAGTTTTAGAAGACACATGTAAGTCATTTCAATTTCATACGGTATTTCTGAATAACTAGTTAAAGCTAAGATTAAAAGATTTAAACATATGTAATTCCATGTTTTCTTAGTACAAGGGATTTCAATCATTATCAAATTTTAAGTTAGCCTTCATTATAAAAACAAAAACTGTAGATGAATTAGGATAATAAAAGAAAACCCTTTTGAAATTTCATAGTCGAAATATTTTGCGTGCATTTTCTTTTACCTATTTTATTTTCATAACACCTTGTGGTGTAGTCAGAGATGAACTAATTTTTTTTTCTTAATATAAACTTCCTTTCAAATTAAAACTTATATTTATATGATTTTTGTACCTGTACTATATAGATAGATAATTAGGAAACATTTGTTTATTGATATATTATCTACCTATTGGTGTTTTCTTACATAGTCCTAACATATAAAAGTCAAATTTATACACTTTATCCTTGGTCATACATACACGTGTCTCTTACATGTACTCTTGTAAAATACTGTATGTGAATACATGGTGTGTTTTTGCTTTAATGCCCTGTCTTCTTCCACTGTAACTCCTGTATATTCGATTTTATTTAATTCTATGACGCTGCTTTACTAATGCATCAATAAATTAAAAGGTCAGCTTAAAACTCATAATTGTTCATTAGCGTATTATCTTCATACTTTCGAAGTATAGTTGCAGTCATTATTATAACTCTGTCATTTATTTTACGTCATCATTATTGTCTTAGACTACATGCGTTACTCTGTACGTGTGTCGTTCTTCTAATATTGTCTGGATAGTGCTGTGGACGTTTTCAGGTAAGTGGTCTAACAGCATTCGAGGCATCACTTGGAGTTCCATGAAGTCTTCCGGGCATGCCCACCTCAGCTCATATGTTGGTTCATGTGTGCGCACTTTTCTGTAAGATAATAATGTATAGATGATAATATGCAATGGCAATAAAAGTTTAGTATTATCTCATTGAATACCCGTCTGGTGCTTCGTAAGTTGGAATTATATGGAGTGGAAGTAAGTTTCTTAGACTGGCGCCCAACGTGGGGTCTTAGATAAAAACTGGAGTTCAATTTCTTTTAATCAAACTCAAATATAATTTATCCTAGAAAATCAAATTGAACTAAAATATTTAAAATGTAGGCGCTATATGAAATTTGCAAATGTAAATAGTGTTGATAGGAAGATTCAGCAATCAAGAAGGTACTTAAGTCAATTATGAAGATTTTTTACTATGTCGAAAGACTTTATAAACATACGGCTAGGCTACCTATATAACTATACAACTGGTAATAACACATACGAAACTAGACCTTAAATCGTTATTAGAATTGTATAGTTTTTTTTTTATAATTTACCTTTCCTCGTCCGCTTCATTACTTTGGAAAGACATGCAAAATCCAATTTTCTATTTTAGAGACTAAAATGAATACTAAAATATGCCGATTCATTATGAATGTATAAATACAGGACTTGAATGTAAATGATACTAACTTTTCGATACCCATGCGCTTGCGCCGCACTATGTGCAGTATTCGGCCGGCGGTGAATAGTCGCGCCGACGAAAACCGACGAACAAACACATTCCGCGATACTAGCGCCGCTTCCTGTAATAAACGGTATATGAATAAAATTAAGTAGTCCAAAGCAGACTGATGCCCACTGGCAGAACCCGTTCACGGGCATGACGAATGAGCCAGTCATCGCTTCAATCGACCATATTTAAGGGAACGTAACGATCCGATGCACACCACACCACAATAGATCTTAGTTCTGTATGAAGCCATTGGTTCCGGCTGCATTTGCGGTCGTTAATACTCTCCGATCCGCATTGGGCCAGCGCGGAGGATCATGGTCTATTCTGATAAAATATAATAATGGTCTATCCTTCTTAACCTGATGAGGATCTTCCAGATAAATACAAAAAAATCGAATGTCAGAAATATACAATGGAACTCGAACTTTTTCCAATCCCGAGTGCTTCTGTTCTGCCCGGTTCAAGTTTCGTCTTGGGATTCTAGGACTACTTAATTTTCAAATATATTTCTATATTACCAACATAAATATACCAGATGATTGTAAAAACGAATTCAAATAATGAATCATATTATTAGAGTTTTAAATTATTCGTTGAACACAGACAGGGGTTATACTCTTCAACTGTCGAAATATCTGTCTGACTCTATGATATCTATACTAATATTATAAAGCTGAAGAGTTTGTTTGTTTGTTTGAACGCGCTAATCTCACTACTGGTTCGAATTGAAAAAATATTTTTGTGTTGAATAGATCATTTATCGAGGAAGGCTTTAGGCTGTATAACATCACACTGCAACTATTAGGAGCGAAGATATAATGGAAAACGCGGACGAAGTCGCTGGCGGCCACTAGTTAAAAATACAAGAGTTAGAGCTGTTCAGAGAGGTGAGTGGATTTTTTTGATTACAAATTCACTAGTGACCGATTAAGAATTTGTTTATAGATTTGCATTCTGTAGGGGCGATGTGCCGGTTTTTATTTAATTTTTAACGCACTCACAATCGAGGGTTAACTTAAGTGTCACAAAAACTCACACTAAACACTCAGATGACGAAACAGTCCAAGATATATCGAATGTCGATTCTTATCGTGGCCCTTTCGTAATTGAAGGGTTTGTATTTGGCTTTAAATAAATAAATGGAAAAATATTTCAGAATGACATATGAATGACAAATATTATCCAACTATAGCTACCTATATGAACTCAAAGATTGTTAGTGAAAAACATTTACATTAACTTATTTACAAATTTTAGTGGCATATAAAATATCAACAAATTCGTGTACGTATTAAACCCAGATATAAAAGCTAATATTAGTCGATGTCTAATATTGAATGTTAGAAATAAATGTCAGAACTTGAGAGTATTTTCTTCGTTTGTCATTCATTTCGTTTGATTATTTACTTATGTGATAAAAAGCAATGCAAACAGCAATCAAGTAAACATTTATTATTTTAAAACAAAATGAAATAATTATATATGTATAATATTAGTAACATACACACACAGTCGCACAGTAACAAAGAAACCTATAAATAAATGATAAAGTCATTAAGATTTCAAGCTAAGTAAAATAAACAGTACCGTTGGAACTGAGTTTGTAGCCGAAACCATTTCGGCTTTGATCGTATCAGTTTCGGCTTTTACTTATATACGAATAAGGATCATTTATGTAGTTTTAATTTTAAGTGTCACTTATATATTTGCTATTGGTTTTTCTATTGATAATAAAAAAATGATTACTAATAGGACTACGCACTGTTTATGACTCGGTTGGATGCCTTATAAAAAGTTACCAAAAAAATAAAATATTAAAACACCAAATGTTAGAGTCATGTAGGCAGGTAGTGTGTGCTGGCGGAATGGTTAGACGTTTTATATTGCCTAAGTAATTGTTATTTAGTTATCTGAGGAATACGAATCCAAATTGGCACTGTATTTTGTAAAAAAAAGAAATAACTTTTTTTATATTCCATTTGAGTTTCTTTGAAATAAACACTGTATTCATGAAATATCACGTATGACCAAAGAGCATGTAAATTACAGACTGCATTGTTTATAAAATACAATGACATTGACAGACGCTTGTGTCATAGAGTAAGTAAAGCAGGGATCTAATAGCAATAGCCGGGTACGTCTTTTGTTTTGGATTATTAAAAGTTTGTGAACCGTACTGCATAGAATGTATATCTACAATTATCTAATACGAGAAAGATATAATGAACATGATTTACTATTGTAAAACAAATTTCTTTACATCATTTTTGAATCTCAATTTTTCTGAAATTTAAACAGGAACTGCGCACTCCTGCCCCACATGACTCTAACTCAAATTACCAAACAGAACATGAAGTGATAAGCACACGAAAGCGTGACGGCACTCTGGAAACCTGTAAGTAGGAGGGGTCACTGACAGCACTCACGGTGGACACGCTCTGTACGAGCAGCGCGTCGGCCGAGTCGTCCGACTGGTTCGCCTCCAGGTCTTCCGGTCGCCTCCATGTCGACTCCAGGTCCCGAGCTGGCACCCCGAATAGAGCGTACCCGAATCCGTTCAACATTATTCGATACTGAAATCAATATGTCATGCGTTACGAGGTTGCCATTGTATCGATATCTAAACATAGCTGTTTTCTTGCGACTTCGTCCGCGTAAATAGGGATGACGTGTTATTTTTGTTTATAAAAATGTATCCGCGTCTCTTTGTGAAAATAAAGAATTATTATTTTTATTATTTGTTTGTCCGTCAGGTAGATCGTTGAAAAATATTAGACATGTTGATTTTTCGTAATCATTACATTACGAGTTAAAATGTCACATGACGTCACGCTTTAGTACTTTTTCTACAACACTATGAAGTAGCGACTCCTCAGCTTTAATGCCTGTTATCTAAACTATTTCTTGTTAAACTGAAATAAATAAAAAAACGTATCTAATATTTTTCTATTATTTGACTGAAGGACTTAATATTTTTTTTTTACCCAGTCGTCATCCGTATATAGCGCATGTCACCCGCATATTATGTATGTAGATAAAAATATCATATAGTGGAGGTTTGTGTAGATTTAAAACAATATGCGGCTGTCTGTCAGCAGAATCGTACCTTGGTCTAGTGAAAGAATCTGATAATTGAACAACAATATTAGCAATGTGAATGTAAAATGGACTAATATATTTATGGGTATGTCTCTATTTATTTACGCATATACATTAAACAACTGTTTGATTTCTAACCATTATTTCTTAAATGAATGTAAACGCATCTATAAGAGTGAAAATCTCACCTTATGTATACCATTCCTCCGGTTCGTAAAACATTGGGTTTAAGAATTCGTAATAGGCTCTAGGCTTCAAATCCGTTTGGTTACATTAATAGGAACTGTCAATGTCCTTAGATATTCGATTCATATTCAAAGTAAATTTCTCACCTTTGGTAATTTTGTTGCGTGTATAGTCTGGATTACTTTGGTACGCAGATTTTCTATACTATGCACGCTTAGTCTCATCACGAGGTCGTCCCCAACACCCACTGTTAGCACGAAGCTCTCAGTGTAACGAGCTGCTTCTCGGCTTATAAGACCCGCTGAAAATAAAAAAAATACAAATAAAAATTTTCTAGGCCGCAAAATATAGAGAGAGAAACTTACTAAGCTATCAAAAAGAAATAAAAGAAATTTGTGGTCTGTAAAAAAAGGTGAATTTTAATTCCCACTTGAGATAGCTTATATAGCTCATAATCCAACAACTAAGTAGTCTAAGTATTAGTGTGGGGCAAAATAGGAAATTTCATCTTCTATAGCAACCTAAGCGGGAATCGATCTCAAACCCGGGACCAAGAAGATCATGTTCTTAATTTCGTAATATTCAAATAAGTGTACTAAGTGAAATATCGGAATTTCCTTGACATATAGAAATGGAGATTGATTCTAAAAAAGTATTAGGATATATTCTACTTGGTGATATTTACCTGGCGTTGAAAAGGCAAAAACTTTAAGGTGTGGATATCTTGGTCTCAATTTTAGTGCAACTAATACAGCTACACCTGCACCCAGACTATGTCCTGCAAATGCCAAAATAGGTTTTATTCCATCTGTTATTAAAGGTATTGAAAACTATATATTAAATATGGTAATACCGCTTAAACTCCTTTTGAAATCCCCACCCAGGCGGTAATAAACCTACTAAGATCCAGGCTATACGAGACAACCTGTCCATAAATAGAAAGGAGATCTGATACCCTATCAGTATCTCTTTACTTTATTCTTGTATTATTTATTTTCTGAATCGAATATGGTGTTATTACATCAGAGAGATCGGAACGTATTTCATAGATGATAAGAATAGTTTTGACGCAAATATTTCAAAGTAACTATATGTATATTCCCTTTTTCTAAATGTTTGAAGAAATTATAATAGTACTTGATTTTATAGTATTCTGGCTCTTAAATATGCGGCTCTATCTTAGGAATAATGGTAGATTTTGACATGGTCCTCCTTGCAGGATACCGTGTTTATCTATCCACGTGAGGAAAACCACAGCGGCTTTACCAGGTAGGCCAACCAGGTTGGAAGGTGTTTGGAGAGCCCAGTCTTGAGGCTTAAGGCGCATTTCCCCTGTGTTATTTAAAAAAAAAGATGGTAGATTACCTGTTAATATTAGATCATAATGAGGAAATTGCTGAAAGGCACGTTCGAGAACTGGCAACAGTCGCTTTAACATTTTAGCAGCGCCCATCGACATACCCTTGTGGGCCGCGGTGTCTTCTGGCAAACCTAAAAAAAATATTTTTAAAAGAGGTTATGTGTGTTATACAAAGAACATAAACTTATAATAATAACGGAGAGACCATTTTAATATGTAAATAACACGATTTACATATTCAAGTGGTTTGACAACTTGTCAAGAAAACTTTAGTCCAGTCTCTACAATCGATTCTTGAAAGTCATCCTTTTCTTATACAAATATCAATATTGCATTTATTTATTAATAACTAGCTATTATATTTGATAAATTTCGCATACACAATGCTATTCTGAAAAATATTCTTAATGAAAAATGCTTAAAAAATCCACTTGGTCTCTGGCACCCTGAGATAGGATTCGAACCCATGACTTTTCGCATTCCGGGCGACTGCTCTAACCACTGAACTACCCAGGACCTAACAGGACTGAAGAATCTTTCAAGCACTAGTTACTTTTCGCTACTATAGAGTGTATTCTCATTAATGTTCAGGCACTCTACCTAAAAAGCCGAAAGAAATATTTATTCAAATATTTAAACTTTCGATAAAGATGAAAATTTGTTCTAATTATTATATTTGATTTATTTTGCATTAGCAATTCTATACTGAAAAATACTCTAAATGAAAATTGCTTAAAAAATCCATTAGGTCCCTGGCACCCTGATATGTTATTCAAACTCATGACCTTTCACCTTTGCCTGCGGATTTCAACCGCATAAATTATAGCCGCTGTCACTCGCGTTACATATAATTGTCATGATCGGATCAGTATTTCCGAAAACCAGCAACAAATAAAGTTGGAGACTTAACCTCTTTATAATATAGGTTTGATAGGTTTAGGTTTGAATATGTAGTAGATACGCGTCACTTTTTTATTTTTCTATCGAACGTTCTTAATACGTCATTGGATCAAACTATTGCTACATAGGTAATAGGTTGAAACAGAGGTAGAGAGAGTAAGAAAGACCAAGAATCGTAAAAAGTAACAAAATATATAATTACCATCGGCTTCAAATTTTTCGGAGCCTGCGGTGAAGTCGGTAAAGATATCACGTAGAGATATGGAGCCGCGCACTGCGACCACGATGCTCTCGCGGTCATGATCCGCGATCACGCAGAATGGCAACTGAATAAAGAGAAAGTATACTTCGTTTGAATTTGAGGAATAAGTTATTAAGCCTTTATTTTGTTTAGAAATAAATACTTTTTCTTAAACATTTCGGAATTAGGGAAGCTCTCCAATTGCAGATAACTATTACGAATACGAATTACGTATAAAAAGGATCTCAATTACACGAACAGTTTAATACTACGTTCTCATACATCTACCTAAGTTTCATAACAGAACTACTTCGATATGTAATTTTGGTAAATAAATGACTAACGACCTTTTCTGAATTAAGAAAAGTTTTAAATGTCAATTAATTATACTCAATAACTTAAGTTTTTTTACGTTTCACAATTCAAAAAGTCCTAGTTTTATCAAACTGCTATAAACTGATAATTAAAAAATCTAAAATCAGAAACGAAAATCTATATATGACACGTTTAAGTACGGTTTCAGACGTTCTTATCTTTAAATTCGCAATTCAGAAACCTAGCAGTCCCCTTGCAGCCATTTGGAGCCCCCCCTAGGACTACTCCCTAGTCCACCACGGCCAAGTTTAAGTTGATAATAACACTTTACAAATCCATAAATCATCATCTTTATCATACGCTCGTCGTTATTAAATTGCGTACATGCCAAAGTAGTAAAATTAAACAAAATATTGCCATAGCATTGCTAACATATCGTATCCTATGGCTACATATAGGCAGTCGCACCCCAAGACAGATGACGAAACAGTCCACGTTATGGAATATCGATTTTAATAAATAACATTGCCCCTGAGATATGCCTTTATGAAACCTCATGTGAATATATCTGGTAATATTCATGCGATACGAGGTACGTTTTGTAAGAAAATAACGTTTTATTTCAGTTCAGAGTTACCGTGTACTCGTTATAAGAACATGGAATATCCCCCCCCCCTCCAGGAAATTTAATCTCATTTTATTGACGTTTTATTCCAGACTAATATTATAGTACGCACGTCTACGTATCAAAACATTATAGTAGCAGAATTATACTGTTGTTATAATTACTGTGGATAAGTAGATCTTTAGTTCACTAATTAAAAAAATATCTAATCTCTGCAATTTGATTTTAATTGAATAGTTCGGTAGCGGCCAGCGATTGTTGTTGCTAAGCGATTTTCGCAAGGATTAGTCACGTGACCAAAAAATTATTATCTCGAGCCACGTAGTGCTTCGGACGGTACGTTAAGCCGTTGGTCACGGTTGTATTTGCAGTCATTGTTACCCTCAAATCCGCATTAGGCCAGCGTGGAGGGTTATGGTTATTGCCCATCCTCCTTAATCATACATGTGCCCTGCAGTGGGGACGTAAAAGGGCTAATGATGATCTACAATTTATGAAAGAAATGTAACTTTCAAATTAAATAAATAACAATATTTTTAATTATGCTACTATGCCATATTGAAAATATTCAAGGCGTCGCCATCTCTGAGGTCCCGGGTTCGATTCCCGGTCGGGTTAATGTAGAAAATGAACTTTTCTATATTGTCTCGGGTCTGGGTGTTGTGTGATCTTCGTTGTCTCAGATACTTCATAATACGGAGGCTTTAGCTTACTCATCTTGGAATCTGAGCAATGTATGTGATGTTGTTTAATATTTATTATTATTTATTTATTTTATACTTTTTTTTTTTAGGTACATTATATTTTAATTATGATATCAGTGTAAAATCACCCACATAGTATGAAGTGGATATGGCCCTTTATGGGCGACAGTAAAGCTATTAATGAGTATTATCTGAATTCTTGACTTTTAATCTCTTAACGTGAGAAACTTACTTACTGGAAGATATATACTTTATCTTTATATAGACTTATACTTTTATCACTCTATCTACGAAGTAATTCTGCGAAAATAGTATGATTTGGTGTAAATAGATTAATATTATAATAGTACCGCTAGAAGCAGACATTCGAGGCACATTAAGCATTGAATTACTGCATTACTCGAAAGCCGACTACGGCATGGGCTTAATATAATTTTTAAATAATTCATGGATAAGTAAAGTAAAAACGGTGCTCTTTCTTTTTCTCTTTAGATATAAACAATTCTGTGTCGAAATGTGCGCTGTTTCATCCCGATACAGCAAACATTAATGTTAAGTGATATAAGTATAATATGCGAGCCAAATAAGAATAGGACTGGTAAACAGCCACCTTGGTTCGAATTACGCTGCAAAATCATAGATGCAAAAGAGGAAGGAAATGTTTTATTTTTTATTAGTAATTAATTAAATTACAGGTTTGCTATCAACTTCACGGTTTAGCTGTGTAATTTAAGTACTGACAGCAAATAAAATTTAGTTTGCGAAATATCTTTTCGATTCGTTTATTTTTTTTGTCCTTTTTGGGGAGCTTACAATATTATTCACGATATAATTACATATATAGTACTTATAATAGGGATGATGACTGGGTAAAAAAAATGCAAATCTATTTAGTCCGTCAGTCAGATAATAGAAAAATACTAGATACGTTTTTTATTTACTTCAATTTAAAAAGAAATAGTATAGATAACAGGCATTAAAGTTGAGGAGTGGGGACGAAAACGTACTCTAACGTGACGTCATGCGAAATTTCAAATCAATGTAACGCCGTTATTTTATGATTACGGAAAAAATAAAAAAATACGCGTTTAATATTTTTTAACACTACCTGACGGACAAACAAACCAAAATTAGTCATCATCCCTATTAAGATAATTAAGATTGATAGATAGATAATATATTTATTTTATCAACTACACACAATTACATCGACAAGGTTTAGAATTAAATAAAAAGAAAAAACAAATGAAATAATAAATACATAACACAAACACAAGACTCGGCGCATTTAAATTCCCATGAAATCGGCAAAGCGCCGATTTTCAGCCGTCACCCAGTCAAAAATGACAATAACAAGCTTCCGCATATATTTAGTGGGATAAAAAGTCTATACGTCTATCAGGCTTAGGATTATCCATATACCAAATTTCGTCAATTTCCGTTCAGTAGTTTTTCCACGAAAGAGAAACAAATATAACATTCGTACGTACATTCTCACAAACTTTCAGGAAGCGTCAATTCATTGTTGTACCTCAAAGACATGGTTGTTGAACGATGCGAAGATGATGTCGTCAGCAGACAGCTTGGACATGTACTTGACGCCAGCGAAGTTGCACATACAGCAATTGTCGTCCGTTACAATACAATTCTTTGGCCTGCAATCGATATAAGACAATACAAAATATCCTCAAAGCAGTAAGTAAGACGTTAATATATCACAACAACTAACAAAATATGAGGCTCCAGAGAAAATTGATGACTGGAAATTCAGACCGAAGATAGGCAAGAAATTTCGGAGAAAAATATTAATTTATCTCCAAAAAAGTCATGTAAATTATGTTAGGTAAGTAAAAAATATATTAACTAGACTTCAAAAGTCCATAATTCTTGAAACGTCATTTTTAGCAGTTCTATGTAATAAAGATGAAATCAATAGTCAATAATTAATTTTAAAATTACTGCTCAAGTTTAATAAGATGTCTGACTAAATAAAATATTAACAGTTAGTGGTTCCAGACATTTCGACAGGTGATTTGTATATAAATACTTAAAAATTTGTAGCAGATATGTTGTACAATGTAACGATAGATCCTATTCAGAGTTCCATACCCAAAAGAACGGGACCGTATTACTAAGATTCAGCTCTCCGAGTGTCACCAGGCTGTATCTCATATCTCATGAATCTTGATAGCTAGACAGTTGAATTTTATATAGTTGTGTATAGTGGTAGCAGCGCACCCCCACTTCTCAACTTTTATGCCTATTATCTTATCCATTTCTTGTTAAATTGAAGCAAAAAAAAGTATCATTTTTCCATTATATAACTGACAGACTAAATCTTATGTAATACTTTATGGAGGATGACTCGATACGTTATATTTAGTAATAGAGTCATAACGCATTAAAGCTTACGTTATCTTTGTTACTAAAGTTTTATAAATAGCTCGTATCGTTTCTCAATGCATAAATACATTAAAACGTGGCATCTCTTAGTTCCTGGTGCGAGTCCTGAAAACTTTTCTATGTCATAGGTCTTGGTGTATTTTTCCTGATTTTCATAATACCTGTAAGGGTTTTAGCTACTTAATTTTGGGATCGGAGCAATATGCGATGTGTTTTAGGTACCATGTATATTTATTATTTAATTTTAAATATCGTCATTGGATTGTAATTGAAATTATTTCGTTATTCTAGCGACAGCAGCATTGTTTCAGTAACTCATAATTGCGATTCAGATATCGATAACTGTTACTTCAGTCCGGTAACCGGTAATCGTGCGTAATAATAATTGTTACGACGATTTAATGCATTGAGAAGGTGAATATCCGCGTTCCGTTTTACGTTGCGAGTGTAATAAAAATGGAGAACGAATAACCGTAAAACATGTTCTTAATATGTCATAACAACATAAAAATATAAAATTTGTTATTACGTCGAATGTCGAGGGGATTGTTCAGTTTTATTATTCGACATACATTTGCAAACGGCCTCAAACTGAATTCCGAAGTTAAGACATTGTCATCATTACTTGTTTGAGGAAAGACAAAGAATAAATATCGAATGCATTTTTAGTTGATGAACACGACGAGTGTAAGAAATAAACATACTGATCGTTAAATGTATCTTACTAGCGATCAGTTGCACAAACGTCCATTGAAACTGTCATTTGTTTAAAGCGATATTATCCATACAAAGTTGACATTCATTAGAGCTTAAAAGCGTCATTAAATCTTAATGGATGTAAGCGCAACTGACCTTAGAGCTCTCAAATCGCAAAGTTAAATGCACCAATTTTTAAAGTGGAATACCTTACAAATGTACAGTTCCCGATCTAAGAGGATTTAAGGGAAGTGAACAAAGCGGCAAAAATTAAGAATGGCAAAATACATATTTAACAAAATCGCACAGCGGTACATAACTTTTCCCATTAAAAATCTTATTAAATATTTCAAGTACAACAAAAGGAAGTATTGAGACTGAGATATATTGAAGATTTTTTAATCATAATATTTAATAACTCATTTTTAGAATAACAAGCTCGTGGGGTTTTAATTCTTATGTGATAATTAGTGTAAAAAAATGGGTGACGTAATTTTGTCCAGAGCGACTAACTAAAGAATGTCTCACACTAGACCGTGTCAGGTCCGAGGCGAAAGTTGGCTATGATACGGTCAACTAATATTATTATTTTGTATGGATACACTGACGCTATAATGAGCGACATTTACCGTCTTTCAGGTGACATTCGGACCCGTCTCACTCTAGAGTGAGTCAACCCTAAATCTAACTAGTATATAAATAAATTATTTTAAATAAATAACAACAAGGTCATCGATAGTTGAGCAAGAAGGATACTTACCGACAACAGCAGCATGTCAGATGACGTGCCAACTTGCAGAATCCAGTGAAACAATGTCGATACAGTACGTAAGGCCACCCGTACGCTGCTATCGAAAGTCTCAGATAGTGTAACGCATCGTCTAGATTCATCCAAGGTGGCGTTTCCGAAAATACTTTGTTTACATCTGTAGTGTATATAGGTTCTTCGTCGTTTAACATTTGGATGCGTCTCATCTCTCTTGTCTCCCTTTTTTGTCTCACTCTAAGGAGGACACAGCCTGCGACTACGTCAGAAGGGACGAGGTCAGTTGAACGGAAAAGGGCGCTTAACAGTGCTGTAACAAAATTCAAGTTAGATGATTTAAAGAATGAGTTGGTTTTTTGTATTCAAGCTCTCAAAAATAGTAAGTTCTATTGGGCGGCACTGGCTTACATTATCCCATTTATAGTTAAAAAATTTTTGGTTACAAACTCTATTATTCATCTTACATGAAAATTTACGCCCAGCCTAATTTTATTATCCAGATTTCAGATAAATTCTTTAATAGCTAAGACGGCCGTCAGGCTATTTATAACATTGCTTTTGTTATGATATTCTATATAGTTTTATGCCATTATTTATGGTGCAACGGAGTCGAGGACGATTGCATGCATTGCATGTTTTAAAAATAGAATTGAATAGATTTATCACTTTTATTTGCTTCTATTGTGGAATGACTTTTATGATTTACTCAAGGTCTCCAATAAAGTTTTTCTAGGTAATATAAACATTAAATATTTTGTAGATATACCAATACAAGCGTAAATTATTAATACTCTATGACACTAAACAATATAGTAAGTTTCAATTCCATTAGCTAAATCAAATTAACATTTTACCTTGAATGCGAGATAGTAGCCGAGAGCTCGTGTAATGTTTTATTCGAGTATTCTAAAAGTTGTCTTAAAAGTCGTATTAAAGCCCGTGTCTGCGACTTAAATACATTTTACGTTTTATAGAACTCAATTCACTATTGTGTTTCTCGATCTCAGTTTTATAAACTCAAAATAAAAATAAAATATTTCGATATGAATCAACGATACAGAAACGACATTTTATGAGACTTTCGAGACAATTAGAACGCCAAAGCGAACATATACGAGTTCTCAGCTCATTATCTATAACTCCGATATTGACCCCTTTTGTAGTTTAATGGCTGTATATGTATATCATTTTCACGAATCATTTTTGATCAACGCCAATAGGTATTTTATATCATCCTTCTTTAATAAATAAATAAGCTTAAACGCTAAAATTGCAATGTTAATATTAGTCCAAATTCTTTTTATACAGATAATAAGGAAACCTACTACCTTCTAGGAGTAAATATTACTCAGGTAGAACTTCGTAGTATGTTAACCTTTGCAAAGTCTCTGTTTAATAATATAAAATTTGACTAATACTAAGTGCAGTCTCCGCGTAAATTTACCCTAACGCTAAACCTTGTTTATCGATAAGACCGTTAAACTGCAAATTACCTAAATAACTGAATTAAATTATGAGATGATGTCAGAGAATGGAACAACGATACAATAACATTCGCTATTTTCATAAATATTAGATAAGTATTAGTTATTTATTATCAATCTTCAGTTATAGATAATTTTAATACCTGCTACTTGCTGAAAAGCCTCTTTCCCATGTTCATCCCTTTTCAACCAGCAAAAGGCCCAACGGAACCTCCTCGACCAAAGGCCGGTGACTTTCTTGTGGTGTCTCACTTGATTGGGCGTGTCCTGAAGATCTCCATAACGTACTGAGCCCAAGGGATCGAACACCATGAACAAACCGAACACGGTAAGTCCTAGCTGTACCCAGTTGAAAAGGACAATGCCTGCGAACAAATATAATAACTGTATTCATGAATTTTGTTATGGTAACTGTAAAATTCTGCTAATGTCAGCGTAATTGTGGAACAAGTCAATAGCGCTTCAACTACAATCCTTTATGAAACAGTTCTTGTTACTAGATCAAAAAATAATAAACATAATATATATCTGTGAACGAAACAACTTTTAAAAGGCGTCAATAAAGCCTTCTTTATTGACGTTTCGGACCCGGACAGGTTCCGTGTTCACATAAATCTAAGGTGTTAATCTGTGACAATCAATACCTATCAATAGCAAAGTGAGCCAAATTTGTAGATTTATCATATTTGTAGAGATAATTTATCCAATATAAATTTAATTACAACGTTTGTAAGAACGTGGAACCTTTTTCAAAATTGATTTACGAAGATATGGATAAATTTTGTTTTAAGTGAATATTCATAATATGTGGTTGTTTTAAAAATTAATGTTGTTTTGTATATATATATATGTTTTATTTTATACTTATATAGATAAATACTGAAAGTTTAATTAAAATGGTAAAGTACTTTCACTGCCTGGAATATAGAAATGCCTCGGTACCTATTTGTAATTTTGCTCTATTTCTATGTTCATCTTTACTTTTATACTGTATAATAATATTATAATCAAACCTAATGTTAGGGTCGGTACATACATGGACAATGACGGAAGATGCGTCGCATTTAGTCCGTCCCGGAACTTTAGAATTGGCAAATATTTGATTTGAGATTCAACTTTGCGCACTCGACTGAGCACCGCGTACTAACGCATAAGTACATTGCTGTTACGGTTGACTTGTCTTCCATCTTTTACAATAGTTTATAATGTAAAGAGACATTATAAACTGAAGATGGTTGCAATTTTACGGTGCAATATACAAATAAAATTTTCAGTTTTTAATAATATTCGAAAAGCTATAAAATTAAACTGATTCCCTCTCTCGGCGCATTTGACGGCAACAAAACTAATCGACAAAAATAGAAATCTCTCAAGTTCTATTTACAGAACGGTTAACAGATGAAACGAAATTCACTTCCTATTGATTTAAAAATATAGTTCTTACAATTAAAACCGAAAAGTACGAGCCGGACTAACGCACGAAGGGTTCAGTACCAAAAACGAGCAAGAAAATCACGTTTGTTGTGTGGTAACCCACTTAAATGTTTATTTTATTCTCATTTTTAGTAACAAATGAGAGAAATATCATCATCACCAGACCTTTTACGTCCCCACTGCAGGGGCTCAGGCCTTCCTTATGGATAGTTAAGGAGGATGGGCCATGACCCTCCACGCTGGCCCAATGCGGATTAGAGGGTATTAACGGCTGCGAATGTAGCCGGGACCGACGGCTTAACCTGCCTTCCGAAGCACGGAGTAGCTCGAGATAATAATTTTTTGGTCACCCAACCCGTGACCGACCCTTGCGAAAGTTGCTTAACGACTACGATCTCGGGCCACGGCGTTTATCCACTACGCCACCGAGCTACTCCCCGGTGACAGACAGACAGCGGAGTCTTAATAACAGGTTTCCGACAACATTTGGGTACGGAACTATTAAAAATGAAAATTATGTAAAAGAAAAGGGGAGATCAAGTTTAAAGGATGCTATCAAGTAAATAATAAAGTCGGGTAGAGTTTTTCTTAATAACGATCATATTAACACATTAATATATCTCACTGGATATTGGTATTTCTCAAAATATTACTTAAATGGTAATGAATTTGATCTTTACTGAAATCCGTACCTATTTTATTATTTAAATAATTTATAATTCGCGGTTATAACAAGGTTAATTTATTCATTAAGAATATTTGATACTACAACTGGTAATTTTCTGACGTGTTGGGGTCTTTATTACTTTTGTTGAGAGATTGGCTAAAAGGTTTTAAATGTCAACTAGTCAACCTAATTAATGTTTTATAGCAGTCAGTTACATAAAAATTAAAATCATAAAAGTAATATTAAATATAAATTATAAAAGTAAACTACATTCCGGTGTCAAATTATTGTAAATTTTAAGTAAGTTGTAAATTATAAGAGAAAAGAAAGGAGTAGGCTTTGATTTTGTGTCACTCGTTCCTGCTGTTGAAATAAATATTTTACATTTATCAAACATAACTAGTCTACCGAGGGTGCGACCGCCTATCTCTCTAGGACATAGGCATGGGATGTGTGGGACTTTCACCCGCTGAAGGCGGGGATCTACCCACTTAAACCCCTGGGGATGCCCTAGAATGGGAGTGGTGCCCGGGAACCCGAACGTATTCGTCGGGCCTCCCACTCCGTTACGGTCTCACCCCTGGCTGGTCCACCAGGATTGGTAAGCTAATCGAGATCGAGACTCCGACACAATTGAGGTAATAAAGTATGTTAGAATAACGAGAATGAAGTATGTTATTAAAATAACATCCAACTATCGAGCGAGCAGCAGAATTAAAAAAGAAACCGCAATGGACGAACTAATATAAAAATATATCAATAATATAGACATTATAAGCTTCTATTTATATATCCATTGTAACCACAATGATGTTGTTCCTTTAGTCACACGCGTCAATAACATAACAAACTTCAATTCATTGTTCAAATGTTCCTTGCGTGTAGCTAACATTTACATTGTAAACTTTGCCATTGTAGCATATAGAATAGAACCATGTTACGAACATTTAACGTTATATAGAACTTTAAACTAGGTTTGCTAGATCGCTAAATCTAATAGCCTGACCGACCTGCCTGTTTGGCCGAGTATATAGGTAACAAACCTTTTATTGTCGAGGATATTGTGTCTTACTATGAAACGTATGTAAAAACCATACTTTTCTGCTTATTTCCTATAACATTCCTAAATATAAATTAAGCCAAGTGCAAAATCAGGCTAACTATAGTCAACAATACTACTTGATCTTAAACTGTAATGCACCGGGGAGTAAAGGTCAAAATTCATGACATTTGACACATTGTGGTAACGACAAGACATGCAATCGTGTGTATTTTATTTCAAGTGACTTCCAATATGAATATGATTCAACAAGCCCGGCATCGGCACCGTTTATTTTAGCCGGACACGCCATCAAAAAGCCTATGTCCGGCTTTATTCGATGGGCATCGGCAAGTTGATAAAGTTAATTAGTGTAAATAGACAAGTGTAGTGATAAGATCAAAATTATCTGACTATTAAGTGACGCGATATGATAATGTATAAAATTATTATAAAAAGTAGGTATAACCCTTATAATATTAAAAATTTATTGGCGTTTGAATAGGGTATACAAAAATGTCTACTCATATACTTGACTTTATTTACGCGGTTGCAGATATAATTCCTTATAAAAATAGCCTATATTTTTTCTCAAGGCATCGAATCGGTTGAGCGTTTCAAGTGCGAAATTAGGGCAACGGTCTGTTATAGACTAGGTTCCCAATTTTTTTTTGTCTTGAGAAAATACCAAAATGCACTATGCCGCGTGGTAGGCGATAACCCATTATCCCTATTCGATTCCATTTACAGGGATGGCCTATTCAGTAGTGAGGACATTAATGAAATAATCATATTTGTGATCAATTGATATGATGTGTTGTAAATGATTTAATTGGTCAGTTCTAACATTCCACGACCGATGAGACGTGACGAAATTTTCGTCAGATATGCACCGACCGACCCTTAGACCGTTTTTTGCAAAAATGCCACATTGTAGAACAGCTTAACTATAAACTCACATATTTCTCTCCCATAGTAAATTTATTACCCTTACAAATGTTTTTTATTTTTAAAGATTTTTTTGTATGTTATCTTGGAGCAAAGGTTTTGTATGTAAACAAATCAAACAAATTAAGTTTGATGAGGGTTCTTCGTTTAATTATAGACGTCCAATGGGTCTGTCCAGCTCCATTATTTATTCAAATTCGTCATCATAAATTTCAGCCCAATCAAAAACCGTGATGAACAATACTTTATTACCACATAGCTATTTCGGCAAATTAAATAAAAGCTTGTTAAAAAAGGCTAAATGAGAAAAAGTTTGTAGCCATTTATTTTTTTATTAATAAACCATAGAGCACATCGTGTTTGAAAAAAAGTTTTTTAATTAGGCATGTAACCTTTTTAGACTATGGCATCATAATTAGTGAGTGCGTAAGAGCATAAAAACTAGGATAAAAAACATTTTTTTCTAATCTTAATGCCTGTTCCGTCTGTTTGTGATTTATGCGAATATTAATCATTTTAAAATAGCTAAGTTTGTTTACTTTTTTTTCAAGGAATATAAATAAGGCTGTTCAATGGTACAGATAATTCATAATAATCTAAAACAGAGCTTAAGATTCTTTAAAACAATCTTTAAAATGTATGTACAATCGAAAATACGTCAGGTTACAATTAAAAGTTAAGTATGTGTGATTGTTATTTTATTGGTATTCTATAAAAAACAGTATTGAACGCAGCGCAATCGTAGCAATAGAGGATCAACCATAGAAAACCTTTATTACCATTTTAAGTAGGTTTTATTTGATTGTAACATCAGAAATATATAATCAATAAAACAATATTTCTGTGATTGAAACTCTAAAGCAGCATCATAAATAGAAGTGCTGTGTATGACGCGTAGTTAAAAATAATAGCACTGTTATTGACAGTTGTGTTATAAACTAATTAACATAATTATGTGAATCAATTATAGACACCAACAGAAACATGAATTATTATTATACAAGATCTTTTTCAAGCGACAACTTTACAAAGTATAGGTAAATAGATCTTCTTCAAGCGACACGTTTCTATATTATATAGGTATGCCATAAAAGTTGTATTACGTTTTAGAGATATAATAAAAAAGTAATGATTTTATTGACGTCAAATATTGATTCATAAAAGTAATTGGATGCACTGTTATTTTAATATAAGAAAAAATACTTTTGTTTTATTTTTATTGATTTACACACCTATATAGTCTTTTGATAACTACAATAAGCATTTAAAAATTAATGAATCCTCTTTTGACATTTTGGCGAGGATCGGCTGGCCATGGTTTTATTCGCCAGTCCTAAAAGTCAATAAATTTATTTGATTTGTTAATAGTCTTTGTGGTTATTTTTTGAAGTCGCTTTTAGTTTTGGGAAAAATATTATTTTTAGTGATAATTTCTTGTTAACTTAAGTGACATAATATACTTGTATTTCTCACAGTTATTTTGATATAAGATCAAAACTGATGAACCGATTTCTATAAGTCTACTTCCAATGGACCATTTTATGAATGACCATATTGGAAGTAGACTTAATCGAATATTAAAAAAATAGTACTTTAATAATAATAAAGTAAATTATTTCGCACCACAAATGACACAATATAAATCAATAAATGAGACAAACCGTGGATTTCAGAAAATTACGTCACTTGTGGGAGAATCACCAGGCCCCCGAATTTTGTGCATCCAGTGTATACAGCTAGACAATGTTTTAGTTTAAAATCGAATCATAAGCCATAAAGATATTACCGGATATTTTACAGGCAGTCTGTATGATCTGGCTCCTATACAATAGGTAGGCTTAGTTAATGTATAGAATAAGGATAGCTCAATGTTCAAAGTCATTGAACAAACGACTTTCTACTTTTCCTTATAAGCTACAAAATCCCGCGACGCTATCGTGTAATTGAAGCCCTGATGATATGCCATAATGACAGTTACCGAGTAACTTAAGCCCATATCGATGTATCAAAATGATGTCCTAACTGATCAGTCAGGTGACAGTTACCGCGTAATTTAAATGATTGATAAGACACAATGTAGCTTTGCATGATTTGTTAGATCGACAGATCAACTGTTAACCTGTCAGATCATACCGGGCTACATTCTGACAGATTAATTACGGCTTCGGTTTAGAGGTGAGTAAAATATTCATCAAATTTTCTATCCAATATTAAATAATGCATCGAAATCCATTCCACGATCTAGAAGTTAAAAGTCTACATTGGCAAATGATGAATATGCTTTGAGGACTCACTTTGTACAACGATGCTGGAGAACCTGTCCTCGACGGAGCAGTCGACCACCTCGCAGAACATCCACATGGTGCCCATCACGTTCAGGGCGATCTCTGGCACCACCAGCAACATTCTGATCATAAGAAAAAAAATCATAATCATCAGCCCATGGATATGGATGGTTAAGGAAGATGGATCACTCTGCACGGTGGTCCAATACGGAGGTTATTATCGGCTACAAAAGAAGCCAGGAATAACGACTTAACATTCTTTTTAAGCATGGAGTAGCTCTAGATAATCATTTTTTAGTCATCCATCCCGTGACGACCCTGGCGAAAGTTATTAGAAACAAAGTTTGCGGGCCGCGGCGCTTGTATATTACGCCACCGAGTTGAAAAAAAAATATAATGACATATTTTCTTAACTACCTAACTGCAAGAAGCAAGAAGAAGAGGCCTCACTTGTGTACTAATCCATAATAAACGGGACCGACGAGCTTTACTTTGTAAATTATTCATAGAAAATATTGATACGTAAAACCTACCTGAAAGTAATCTCAGAAATGGATATTAAATGAAAGCTTTCTCAGAGGAGATTACGACAAAATAAGCAAAAATAACTTTGATATTCTTAATGAAAAATGTTTAAAAAATCCACTCAGTCCCCAAGTTGTTTTTTTAAGTATTTTTCGTGAAGATGTTTCGCGCGTTCAGTATAGCAATGTATTCACATTGCTCAAATACAAATACGAAATTGATCAAATACAATAAATTACTTTGAGATAAATCTAACCCTTCATTTTGCTCCATTATCTAAACATACTATAAAATATAATATGTTTTTTTATTAGAAAACTTATTTATTTATTTACATTATAAATTGGTTACAAGTAGCATAAAACAATTTTAGATTTTTTTCATTTTTGTTTGCATAATTCTTCATCAATGTTTTAGCTTTCGACTACCAAAATATTCTTTCCATATTATTATAAAATTATAGCTTTATTATTATGTTTAAACTATTATCCGACCTATTTTGGTTAACACATCGCAATTTACGTTTTTTTTCTGTCATTGTCAATTTGCTTTAGGCGGCCAAAGGCTTAAGCCAAGTACATACATATGTGTACTTTACTTATTTAGTAACCTTAGTCCTCGTTTTTTATTAAGACGGTGTATGTTTAGAATACATTTTAAGTGTCAAAGTATGTATCAAAGTAAGTAAAAACAGTCGCATTTCTTTTTCGTATTGACTTCGAAGTATGATTTTATTACAGGTAGAAAAGATTGCAAATCTGAGGACCTATTTCATACGTCCCAAATACGATAAAAAGGGTCTTGACAGACAAACAGATGGAATGAATAACGAAGTGATCCTTATTTTTTTAAATTAATGTAACTAGTTCCGCATTTGTTATTAAGTATATGACTTTATATATGTATAACTATACATACATACAATATATTAATTAAGAATAATGAATAACGACCGTAATAACATTTTTTTAATAACAAATAAGGTTGATTTCAAATGTTACATGAGTTGAAAGTTAATTATTTCTTTTTTATAATCATATTTTAGATAAAGGTATTGCTAAAAATATTTTGAGAAGGATATTAATATTTTACAATATTAAAAGTAATAATTTGAAGCAAATATAAAATTAAGGTTCGGCTGTTGAAAATTATTCAGAGTTGTGTTAAGAAGTTTATAAATTATAAAAAAATAAGTGTAGGTAACTCAGTAAACTTCAAATGAATTAATTATTTAGAAGCAATAAAGTTTTCGTCTTTCAAAACCATACACCATAACCATAATCAAATATAAAGGTGTAGATATTAAACGCAAATGTTTGAAAAGATAAAAGTTTTGGGGTTAATGTGTAATATTATTTATACGTATACTTCATAATCTTATTCGATTCGACTCCATTCATAGGATTAAAAGAATTCTACCAAAATACTTCCCACGCAGACGAAGTTGCGGGCACAGCTAGTTGGAAATAAGAATACTTGATTTAGAAAACGAATTTAAAATATTGCTGAAAAACTAACTTTGCTACATAATTATGGAACTCGGTTTTGCCATCTCTTATAATAATAACAATTATACATAATTTTGCGAATATACATAAGTGTAATAAATTATACTGAAACTTCCTAGTCAAATAACAGGGTTTATTGTTGAAATCTTAATGAAAATTTTGTTGGTACTTCTCGGGGTTATCGTTTTCACGTTTGGTATTGTTAAACGTTAAGATAATATGAGGAAAGAGTTTGTTTGAATGCCCTACTTTTTACCGGCTGGATTTTAAAAATTCTTTTACCTTATTCTCATGAATATATAGGTTCAAGCCTAACCTAATTTTTTGAGGGAAATATGAGATTTCAATAAAATAATTCGTAACCTAGCAGAAGTTTTGGTACCAAGATTTTGATCTACTCGAGTGCCAATCAGCGACCTAGTGTTGCTAGTAATTTATAGTATTTTAACGCTCCGTATAAGAATAACAGTAGAAGAATTACAGGTATTATGTACTATCTATGAATAACAGGAAGTATATATAATATTGGCACGAAACTGATCAAACGTCAAAGTTAAAATGACAGTGAGAGCTAACTGACAGATAGGGTAGTGAAATCGATAATTAGTGCTGCCAGTAGTAGTCGATGTTTTTCCCTCTAACAATACATATGTTACGCTACGCTACTATGTCAACTTCGTTTATTTTACTTGCATAATTCCTCTGGTATACCTTTCGCTTCCACACTTTTAGGTAAGGATTAGTAATGCGTTATGTAGAATAGTCCGTCATAGCTAGCAACAAAATAAACAAAGCTCGATTTCTTACTTGATTAATAATAATGGCGACACGAGTCGTCGCTGGTCGACGTCTGTGATGGTGCCGCGAGCTGATTGCTGCGCCAGTGCCGCTAGCAGCATCATCAGTGCCGCCTGTAGCGCCAATGTGCCGCACAGGTACAGCCGCACGAACGACCCGCCCTGCCATCCTTCTGACTGGCACTGCCATGTCACTGGGTACAGTACTTCCACCACTAAAGCTATTAGCACCAACCTATATGGAAGAAATGTCAAATGTTAGTCGAATTTGATTTTATGAAACTAAGAAATTGGTTTGAAATTAGTGATTTAGTGTGAAGTGTTTCGTAATAGTTGCAGTTGAAAAATAATCCGTCAAAATGATTTTTATAAAGTTATATTTTGATATTGTGTAGTATAGAATCACCTCTTAATTTTAAATTATCATAAAAAAATAATTAAAATATACGCCATATTTGTCGTAGATACAAGAAATAACATTATATTTGTCTTATAATGTGCAAATTTTAATCGTATTGAAGAGAAAAACCAAAATCACATTAAACTTGTCATTCAATAAATATAAACTCGTAATTGAAAATTTGATTCGAATAAAAGGAAATCTGATATCCTATACAACTTCCCCTTTGTTTCAATAATAAAAGGTCGATATACCAATATATTGATATTGAATTCTAGTCTAATCCTACTTTGATTAAGACTTGTTTGCTTATTTGATTGTAGATTTATGGGAAATCGCAAACGGTACAGAAGTGGAATGTCAAATAGCAGGCTCGTGAAATACAATCCTAAACAACTATTAAATTTTGTGCTAAAATAGAATTCGCTGTAGGTAACAGCAACGTAAGCAATCAAAGCGGGAACAATTTAAAACCCATTACAGAGTAATCAAGCTTAGAGTCCGAAGGTCACATGACTGAAGCGTCCATCAATATTGGGAACAGGGGAAAGCTCGTTCATATTAATGTCGCAAGAAGTGACAATAGGAGAATAGAATAAGTACGCAAACTGCAATTTCGTGTAGGAAAATAATTAGGGGTGTGCTAAAGTTATACAATTTGTAGCTGTTTTGGTTATAATAAGTTAACAAACAGTACACGTTTTTTTTTCTTTTTAGGGAAGGTCAAAACAAAACATGTCTAAAAGTTGTGTTACCGAGAATCACTATACTTTGCGTGCCTTTCTTTTATACCAGGAATTGTCCCACATTTGACATTATTTATTATAGTGAATTATTTCTGAATATAGTTGAAACATAAATATCACACACAAACTGAGCCTGAGCTCGTTTATCAGACTCAAAATAAACTTGTTAAAAGAACCTTTGAACCATTTATAGTTTTATATCTTTACCCTCATTAAACAGTTTCAAAAATTCATCAGCTCTTAAAAGAAGCAACGACATTTCCATGAGTTAAGTCATTTCTAAATCAATATTTTATTACTCATATTTAGTGATTTAGAACAAGCGCATAAAATAGGTTCGCGAATAACCTGCCTAAATATAAATATATTGAAGTTCATGAATGATGGTTATACGACGATAGTTGGCCTTGGTGTTCGAGTATCCTACAAAAATAACTCATGATAAACAGATTGATATTAATACTCTATTTTACAATACATACAATTACAAAATAATGACTTTACAGTTTTGTATCGATCACCTTAGCACTTTATTGTCCACAGCTGTGGGAGGGGCTTTATCTTTTTTCTTTTAATTTGCTTTGTTGTTGGAACTCTTATTGTAATATTAAAGTTTTGTTAGTGAGAGCCAACTAGCTCTGGAGAGTTTGTTGCTGAGTATATGGAACCGCACATCAAGCGCGTCGTGGTGCAACTCATACGGGGAGATCGCCATTCAATGAGCGAGTGTCAAAAACCCACTCTTGCCTACTTCTAGTTGAAGGCAAGTGATCGGATTCCGATTCGGGAAGAAAAAGAGCAGAGGTTAATTTATCTATGTTTAATTATAGGCCAGCTGATCATTTGTGCTTTTTCGCCCGCGTAAATTATAACCGATGGTAATTGCATATGGTGGAGCTTCTCGTAGGTGAATTTTAGAAATGGATAGTTTCGAAGCCTATTCAAGTTAGCATTTAACATACAATTAAATCTTTCCTCTTCATAATGTTACTATAGAAAAGAATAATTAGGACAACATAGAAAGTCCAAAAATCACAAATTTGGCTCTGATAAGTGGAAAGGTTAAAATGTTGAAATATGTATTAAGAAAACTAATATACAACCCAAAAGTGGAAATTAGTGGTAGTTAACGACTGCAGATGTAGCCTAGTTGGTCTGGGCATGCTCTATGAAGAAGGAGCTGGAGATAATAATTTTTTGATCACCCATCCTATGGCCGGCTCTTGCGAAAGCTGTTTATCTTTCACATAGCAGACCGAACGCGCGTAAGCCTATATCACACGCGTATGATGTAGCTTCCAGTAAGTGAAATAATTTTTAAAATCAGTCCAGTAGTAAAATATTTCCTTTTTTAACATTAATATAGATAAAACCCTTTTGATATATAAAATATAGGGAATTTGTGTTCCAGAACTACTTGGTTTTATGTTCCTACAAAAAATTATGTAATTAATTTGTAAAGCAAAAATGTACATAGCTAATTTTCAAGTATAAAAGTTTATCTTGAATAGTTACTGTATTTCTGAATTTCGGTGAAATTCACTAAGGAATTCCATTTTACAATCCACGAAGATACAGTAATTGGCAAAAGCTAAATGACGACGACGTGAAAACTTTTCGGTGCAAAACAATAACGAGAATTTCAAATGACTAAAGAGCAATTTGTAAGGGATGAGGGAAAAGGATATCTTTAGATACTGAATTAAGTTTCCAAAGAGGGGTTATATTATTGTTTTATGAAAGTCTCACTTATAACATTTATTACGACTTCGATAACGTTGTGGTTCACGCGTTTGATTTTAGGTTTATTCACTTTCGCAAAGGTCCAGGCATTGAATGGGTGACCAAAACTCTACTATCCGAGCTCCTCTTTGCTTTGGAAGGCTCGTTAAACCGTTGTCTTGGGTTGCATCTGCAGTCGTTAGCTGTCATCAATCCATCATTGTGCCCATATGGTGGAGATACTCTGTTCTCCCTGTATCTAATTCCAGATGAGACTGCGATAAAGGGTGAGTGGGGTCAGATTATCGTAAGGTATATTAAAAAACCTCTTTAGCAGGTTTGATATTCCAATATATTTATCGATGACCATAAACTTTTTACACTTTATATGTTAATGTACTTTATAAAATATAAATATTTATAGCAAATAACTTTTCACCAAGTAGAAAGCAGACAAATTTATATTCAGGGTGATTTTTTTAACGTAAGTGGCAATAGTTTAAAAATACGGAAAAGGAATATTGAGAAACAAATACCAGAGACAAAAAAGTATACATGTAAAGGACCTAGGAAAAAGATGAACGGTGTCGATGCATGGTACAAACTACAAGACACCGTTACATAGCAGGTGTGCCTGTGTCTCAGGAGTGAGGCCGATAATTGGCTGATGATGATAATAATGATTTACAAATCATCAATGACTGCGCCATTTGAGTTTATTAAATATATTTTAGCCATTATTATTATTGCAAATATTTCTCGAGAAGAAACATATAATATAATAAAATACTAGAAACTTTAATATCAGTATTTATTTTTATAGCAGCTGTTACGAAGTTGCTTATTTTATGAGGTATAATTTTTTTTAAGAGTAGCGTAAAGTGAATATATAATATAATGTGTAATATGGATTTTAGTAATTAAAATAAGTTTTGAAAGAAATTCATTATTACTCTTGTGTACATTTTTCCATTTAGTTGTGCTTTAATAATATACCCTTTTCAGAAATTTGGCGGTCCGTAGTAATGTTTATAGTTTTGTTGTCTGTTGGCGACAGGACCTTTTGGTATTTACTAGAAGTTATAATTTTGTTGGCATGGGTCGCTGAGTACTTATGTGGGCATTGCTAAGCTAACAAAGCTGTTGAATTAAAATATGGAAAAAGAATTTGTATAGTTTTATCATAATGCGGGAACTTGGGATAAGTAGTTCAAACCGTGGGTAGGTAGGTATGTTGAATTGAAATCATTTGGATAAAATATACGGAGAGGATTCAATTTTTGAAAACAGCTGAGCCTCTATTCTTGGTAACTCCGATAGCCAAAAAGCTTTCGTGGTGCGTAAAGATAAGGAGGTCCGACCTCATCTAAAGTAGTAAAGCCAAAGGAAATAGAAGTGAACGCCAATCCTCTCAGTAACTCTTCGGAAACAAGAGTGAATAGGCTGTTACTAGGTTAATGCGCTATACCACCCAAGGCTTCATCACCACTTACCATCAGGTGGGATCGTAGTCAAGCGTTAACCTATAAAGTAAATAAAAAAAAAACAACGTGAGCGGAAATGTCCTTAATAATTTCAACAACTTCTAATAAAAGTATATTTTTTTGCTAATTCAATCTCAAATTTTTATCTTTCAAATATTTAAACACAACGTGTGCCTTCTTGCTCCATGATTTCATGTAGAAAATTATTGGAATATTATTTTAATGAAGTAGATGTGTGTAGTGTAAATAAAAAATAAGTAACAGCGAAAACTTATATTGCGGTTTTTTGGATTCGCTATTGTTACATTAATGTTTGAGACTTATGGCTACGAATTATTTTGGTTTTGGTCTTCATAAACTTATACCTTAATTTGGGTCAAGTGTTTGTGACTTTAATTTGTTTTGCACGACACGGTCTATTTAACAAAAATAGACACAAAGGTTGTAAGTATAACGAGAAAGTTGTCGAAGTTACTGTGTGTTCTATGTAATCAACAAAGCAACCGATGAAGGCACGGACAATTGCCTAAGAGGCGTGAAAATGTGATGCAAGGTCCGCCAAGGTCGACCCACTAAAACTGATTAGTGTGGTCTCCCAATGAGAACGAGATGAATACGAGAAGACTTTACTATGTGTGTTAACGAGACTTATAATTGATTACATAAACGTTAAAAATGTTGTAAAGTAGCTCATGTTAGGCTTTGATTAAAAGGTAAGTTACATATTGATGCAGATTTAGGTGTAACACAAGATAACATGACGATTGAGTTTGCTCAAGAAGTATTGCATATAGAATCAGCATTGAACTCGAGTACAGCGTTGTCGCAGCATATTCTATGATAGAAAACTTTTATTACATTTTGAAATAGGTTTAATGTCGAG